TAAAAAGCCCAGAGATCCACTGTAGGCCTGTTTATCAGCATCATTATTGTTTTGTATTTGGTGGTTTGTGTTCCAGCTGTCGATCAGCAACTATATATCCATAATCCACCAGTTAAAGGAAATACAAGTAATGTGTTGTGTTATATTAGCTGTACAATTTACCACATATGGTGTTCTTAGTTTCCATACCTCCTGTGTTTTATGAGCGACTTATCAAGTCTTAGCAAACGGCATAAAACACGATTAAACATGTTAGTATATAAAACCATGCTCGTACAACCTATAGAAATGCAACACGGCGTCAGTTTAGACGTAATTCTGTCCTGCTTACCGCATCATTTATGAGGAAACATTTCATAACAGTAACATATTCGAGGTGGTTTCAAATAGGCCTAACATTTCCGTATTTATTTATTTTTCCAAGTTATGATTTTGTGTGCACTGAGAAGTCTCAAACAAGCGTTTGTTTAATCATTTTAAGATTGGCTTGAATCAATGTTTGAAAATGAATTCTTCATATATGATAAATGAGAGCTAACATTTTATTGATGGTATTATTTCCACATATTTCTCTCCATTCTTCCTTCTGCCAACGGTGTCGCAGTTTCTCGTCTCTCCCGTTGTTGTGCTTAGTGCATACGCATGGGTTAGAGTTTGCGTGGAGGACCGCACGTTTTCCCGTCATGTTAGTATTTTATAAATCGCAAACATTGCGTAGAAACTGGCATATGCCATTTTTTTTTAGCATATTTCCCTTTATAAATGAGGCCCCAGGTCCTACAGTTTTGGGAAACATGTATGCTACTTCGTACTAATTATAGATAAAAGAGATACAGTGTTTAAGTAAGGTATAATATGAGCTGCTGGCAGAGCCTAGAGCAGTGATTCCCCACCTGGAGGTCAGGACCCCCAAAAGGTTCACAACATAATCTGATTAGCAGAATGGACATTTTGTTTTTACTACACAGTTATGTTAATCTTTCAGGCCCTCCATTAATCTGAGCTGTTTCATGTTGTTTTATTTATAACATGCTTTTTTAAATCCCTCTTTAATATGAACTGTGAGATTTAGTGTTAGTTGAACCCAAAGAGCCTCTTTTTAAGAGTTTTAAACTTTAGCTCAGAGAAAAAGAGTGGGCATGAAGAGATTGATATTTTATCTGGAAGAGTTATGATCCGTTTTGTCTCAGAATATTTGCACTTGATTATTTTCACAGTCAGAGATCTGCTTGTAGGCTATTTGACCCCTGAAGCACGGCCGAATAAACTCTACCGAGTTCAGATTTTGCAGTAAAAAAGTATTATTGCGCATGAAGCAAATGCATGTTGTTTCGCCATCTTCTATGCAACATCAACAATGTGCGTACTGCTCTCACCCTACCCCATGCTAGCAGGAGAGAATATTAGCACATACGACACGTGTGTCGACATGTTCAGACAGCAGGATTGGCCGACTGGCAGAGCGCCCGGTGAAATGTGGAGTTTGATCAGAAGAGGGAGTCGGACAGCTGCGAACAGATGCTGCTGAGCTGGGCATGACCTCGTCACTTGTTCGACCTCAGTTCAACTAAACAGTAAATAAATCACTAATCCTGCACGACCTACCGCTCCCTGACTATTGACCGAGATTATTTCCGACAATAATTTGTTTCCTGTTCTAAAAACAACCGGAAATGTCCGTTTATTCTTTCTGCTTCATCCTAACTTGAATAACAAAAATGTGTTCGAATCAATAAAATATAATACTGCTTTGGACACAATACAAAAGAAAGTATTGGGTAAGTGGTGCATGTTGTTTTGTGCAGTCTGCATGAAGTGAAAATAAGAGAACTGTGCAGGCTGCATGGATCCCAGAGCCAATATGCATGAGAATTATATTAAAAAAAAGACGAAATCGGAACAAAAAAGCACACATGTTAAAATGTTGCATGTACATTGTCCATAGGAAAACACAGAGATTGACCTAAAGACAAAACTGAATGCAGCGATGAGGAGATTAAATCAATACAAAATAAAAACATCAAGTATCCATTAACTTGAAAGTAAGCACCTTTTGCTACAGAAAGCAATATAACGGCCAGGAACAATGTATAGTAACTATCATTGTAATTCAACCGACAATGACATGGCCAATCTTCACTGCTGCCAAAATCAAGACAATACTGTTATACTCTCCTATGTCCACTAGATGGCACCAGGTACCAGCACTAGCTTGTTCTACTTTTATTGTTTTCACACCATAAATCACAGTACATCAGCCTAGGGGAAACACTCTGACACGTTATGCAACTGTACCTATCAAGCTGTCCTATTGACTCTAAAGCAGAGGGTGTTCTTGCTGGTGTTAGCAACACGGCAGGCTTGTACCTCGGCTGACAGGAGAAGAAAACGCAGCTATAAAAACCTGTAATGCAGCAAAAAAAATCTCCCCCTTAATCCTGTAATTCCTCACAGACCTTTCTGAGTGATGAGTTTCACACATTTAGGGGATTGGCTTCTATTCAAGCCCTCTACAAAGCCTATTACCATTTTTATCCATTGGGGTATTTCAATCAATCATAGCTTGAATTCATCCGAGTGTTAGTGCAGGTGTGCTGGAGAGGTGAAGGGCATGTGAACAAAACCTGTGGAACAAAGGCCACTGCCTACAACATATGACCAAAGACATGGAAGGGATTACATCTCCATTCAAATCAACTTGCATAAGTGAACATTAAAAGGGCACACCAGATGACAGTCATATCATATTTGATAGTGTTGTCATGCGTTCAAGCATTAGTTTGACGAGTAAAGCAAATAATGCTTCTTAATCACCATGCTTTATAGTTTTCATGCTGGAGAAATTTTTTTTCATTTATAGTAATAGTGAGGATTGTTTGGACTGTGTCATGCAACGTCCAAAAAAAGTTACATCTGTGACAGAATTATCAAACTTATGTGGCTGATATTGCAGCTATGCCGTGAAATACTTGGTGGTTCTCTTTTTGCAGCTTTAGTGGTGTGCTGAGATTATCTGGTGCGTTCACTGGCAGCTGTTAGACCCGTTGTATCCACCAGGAGGCAGCACAGCCTCCCTGGAAATAAAAAGCCCAGAGATCCACTGTAGGCCTGTTTATCAGCATCCTTACCCAGCCAGCTCCTGTTCAGATACACCGACACAAACACCGGAGGAACTGTGAAGAAGTCCACCACCGAGTTCACCTCCAACCAGAACCACAGCTTGTCGTTGGCAGCAATGAACTGAGGGAGATAGAGGGTTACAGGTAAGATTCATACAGTACACTGACAAGAGTAAATAAAGATGGGAACAATTTTGAATGTTCGCAACTTTAGATTTATTTACCCGGAGGCCGAAGTACAGCAAGAAGAACACGTTGAACGCCATGTCGATCTGCAGCGTGAAGTCTTTGTAGAAGTTCTGACACGACTCGATAGGACTAAAACACAGAGAGAGAAACACAATGTATATTAATATTTTACACATAGTGGTGGAGACGTGAGGAAAGGGGTGGTAAAATGCATATATTTATTCAAAAATAAAGCAAAAAAGATGCATTCTTCACTTGCTCTTTTCCAAAGAAGAGGAACTGAAGTATTGAAAGAAGTGCAATAGTTGGTATTTTTCCAATGTTTTTTCTGCAGAGAAAGAACATGCATTTATTGTCACTCAAGCTAAATCTTGTAGAGACGCCTGATTAACCCTTAAATAACTGCAACAAAATCTGTCATATTCCAGGTGCTATATCACAATGAAAATGGTGCCATTGTTCGATCTCTTAGATAAAATTTAAAGAAGAAATTAAATCAAACATGATGGATATGCAGAGCAAAAGCAGTAGTTTAAGGGTTAAATGCATGCAGGGTTCATGTCTTCTTTTATGAATCAAGCAGCCATAGCAAATGCTAGCAATGCAGTGAAGTCTCACCCTCAGAAAGCTTGTATCTGGCACAAAGAATTCAAATAAAGAGAAATAATTAACCAAGTAAATGTGACTGTAAAAGGTTAGTAGGTGGATACAAATGATGACCTGGAAGATAAAATGTTTTTTTTCCAAAATATTATTAACAACTAAATGCAAAAAACAAGGGGGGACAGTTAAGGGGAACATATATTTGATTAATATTGAATTATTAATCATTTATATGAATAGTTGAGTTAGAATGAAGACTTTTATGATGGACTGGTTTATTGTGAGTTGATCAATTAGTGGCCAGTAAATGAATGTGAATCAATTCTGCTAATTGATTCAATGTTTCAGTTGTTTATCAAATCAGAACATTAAATTGTGCCGTCTTCTGAATTGTGAAAATCTACTCTTGTTTTTAGGTTATTTGGTAAATAATGATTAACAGAATAGGAAAGCATAAAAAACATACAGTAAATCAGGAATACATTGTGATTTTTTCGTATTTATATGTGTGAATTATAGGATAACAAGTCATCAGTCCTCTAAATAATTATACAAATTAATCTGAGAGGGAAAAGTGACTCTTTGGTTAAATCTTTAATATTCATGGACATATCCAACCCCTAATGATGAACACATATATATATTGCTTTGTTAAACTTGTTTGGTAACTTACGTAACGTAACGTTTTTATTATTTATTCAAATGAAGGTTTGAAATCAGATTCGTCTCATACATTCAGTTTATTTCATACCTCTGCAAATCTGTAAACTCTCACTCACCAGCTCCACTAACACACACCACATTACTCAACATCTACCCAGTGCTGTTTAACACGGTTCGGATTAAAGCAAATAGCTTTTGTTATTTAAAATAATCTAATAAATTCAGTTTGATAAAACTCTGTCGTGTTAGAGTTGGAATGAGGTAACATAAAAAAAAACCTCTGGGATTATTCTGAACCGATATGATGCACTGTACTGACATTCAGGTCAGTGATGTGATGAGGGAGACTCAAACCGTCCTCTTATCTCGCCCTGAGGCTAATCCGGGCAGTATTTATAAAAATCCTTTGTATTTAGCCAACACAAGACAATTTAAGATCTTTGCCATTGTATCTTAAAAGCAAAACAATCCACATCACCACGATGCACATCATGTAACTGATGATGTAGAGAAAACTCAATGTTTTTACTGTACTCTAATAAATATTAGGCAACTATTCCTCTTCCAGTAGCATCTTAGCATCTCTTTAGGAAGCTTGCTATGATTTTTCCAACATTTATTAAACCCAGGAGGAACATTTGACTTAACTGTTACAATCAATTCAGGGTTAGGTTATATGGCTAACATTTTTTATACTGATATAGATAATAAACAAATAATAATATTGAAATATATTCAGCTATACACTGTTGTTTTTTTTATTGTGATGTAAGACAAAATCGTCTTCTTAAAAAGATTTACTCTGTTTTTTTTTGTATGTGCTTGTTGTTATTAGTATTTTAGACATTGTAATTGTGTGTATCAGGATTTCCTCGCATATATAATTTAATTAACGCTTCAGTTGAAAAAGTATTAATTATATTATTAAATCTTGCCTCTTAATTTTAATTGTCTTGTGCATGGATAATTACTCTGGAAAATAACCGGTGTTCTTTGAAGCACCTCCAGGTCCCTATAGGTTGGATGGTTCTGCCCTCATTCACTGTAATGACAAGTCAGCCCGCCAAATCTCTGCCACAGCAGGGTGACAGACCATATAGTAGGCCGACCTGAATGCTAAATAATTGAGTTCCAGTAGACCTGGTTTGGAAAAAAACTAAGCCTGTTATGGATCAGAGACCCTCCCTGCTCAAAGTCCCTCTCTTCTTCATTCAATAAAGACTCAGATCAAACCGGACGAGGAGACCTTCATGTTGGCTGATGGCACCGCACGTGATTTACAACCTTGATGGTCAAGAAAAGCTGAATCCACTGAAAGTGAAAGATCACCCGGACCAGGTTTTGTTTTAAATATGTTTAACTGTAATTCTCTTTTTCTCCATGAGGCATAATAAACCCCGGCCCTACGATGAATAATAACGTGTTTGATGACAATACATCTGTTATAAGTGAACTACAAGATATAAATACAAATTGCCAGGCTGTAGGTTTGTAAGCTTAATGCGTTTTTGTTTTGTTGCCCGCCAGTGGATAAAGAAGTCAATGAATGAAAATGAAGCAAGAAAATATATCCTTAAGAAGAGTCTGACTAAGATTTCAACACCACTTTTAAATACTCAGATTGCTCAGTATCACTGCTGAGTTTGACACCCAGCTCTGCTTTAACATTGATGAAACAACAAAGGACAGTGTGTCCTACAAATCAAACGAGACTACGTGGAAGCACAGGTTGAAAAGTTAGACACAGTTACAGCTTCATTCTCTCTGCGCTGCCTGTAGCTCTAACTGTACTGAAACTTAGAGGGCCTTGCTTTGTTGACATCTCTCTGTGTCACTTGCAGCCAGGTTGTCCCGCCCATCATACGACGGCCACAGCAGCCCGCAGGACTAACTACAGGAAAGGCTGTATCTGTTACAGGGTGCTGCCACTTACAAGCATGGGAGAAAGCAGCTAACTGGCAGCTCTTTCTTTAAGTTCACGGCTTGTTGGGTTGACAGGTTGATCAGAATAATAGAAAGCCCTGGACGAGACTGAAGTGAACTGAGACAAAGAGCCTGGTGTATGAATATGAATATAAGTAATCGAACAGGTGCTGCTGCATCATACCTCATTGTGTATTTAACAAAGCCCTTACTTATGCGTGAGAGGTTAAAGACAGAGGTCGTAGGTCACCCTTCATCAGGTGAAAAGGGTATCGGACGCTGCTACAAGCCTGGTGAGAAGAGGAGGCCACAGATGGCATTGGTGAGGATGCAACTCTACCTGGTCCAGTTAATGAAATGAGAGCATGCTCACAAACCAAATCAGAGAAGCCAAGCCCTTAGCTGTAAGCAGTCTTATGAAATAACAACAACATGCCGCCAGGACATGAGCCATTTTACAAAGTTTACAGCCTTTTTCTCTTAACATTACTCCCAGCGGTGACTCCCTTTGGCTTGATAAAAGATTTTATCCTGTGTATTTAGCTCTACTTGTTAATGACACTTCCTGTTCAAACACCAGCAGGCTGCAGTTACAGTACACTAATGGGGTCCTCCACTTCCTCCAGTTCGATGAGCGACGGTGATTGGTTTTGAACAGGAACTTGGGTCTTTCCTGCCTGTTTGATAGTCTGATCCTTTTGTACAGAGATTAAGCAAATTTCATCAGTGAGCTCTGGCTGTTTGTCAGCAGAGACCTTCAGTAAGCTCAGAGCAGTTAACCTGGAAGGGGATTGGATAAAAACAGCCAGCAAGAACATGCTCTGAAATACCATATACAGAGCACAAAGCACTCAGTATAATTAGGGAGGAGCTACAGTATATGCACTATATGAGAATTTATGAGAGTGGAGCAAACAGTTAATGACTAGGCCCTCTGAGGGTATTCTAAATCATAAATGTCTGAAACTCATACAATTTCACCTTCAATCAATCTAATCATTCTAACTGAAGCATCATCAATTTAATAGCGGGATTTCAGAAGACCGTAACAGAGAGCTTTGGGAATGAATACTACATCCTGAAAATGAGTTAGCATTTTTGCACTTCCTGTTCCCTCGCCTCAAAGTCGACGGCCTTTTTGTTTAATACTTAGGGACTGGAAGACTTAATGACTCAAGACCACTTCCCAGTTTCTTGATTTCTCAAATATTCGGCAGTGGAGCAGGTTAAACAGGGTCAATTGTGTCATATAAGCTAAAGTAGCAGCATAATTAAGCACAATGATTAAAGGGAAAAAATACTCACTCAGAAGAATCAATGAAGTATATAACAAGGGCCCCAATGCTGAGAGCAAAGACGAGCACCACCTGGAAAAAAGAAAATAGGAGCATTTTACTCAGTTGTTAGAACACGACTCAATCTAGTTCAGAAAAAGACAGTAGATGTTATTTTTCGGATGCTTGGCACTCTAGTACAGGAAAGGGCAAAAGGAGGGCACCAGATTTATGCTTCAAATGCTTTCGGCTGGAAATATAAATGTATTCTAATATTAAAAGTGATGTGTAAAGGGTAGAGGAGTTTGCAACAACAAAATGCAAAATACATATTCAGGTATTGATGATAAAGGCTATATTTCAAAAATAAATACAAAAATCAGGGAGAAATGCAAATAAATAATGGCAATGAAAGTTAAGTAAGAACTCAAAAAGCGTTAAAAGAAGCACAGAATATGACAAATCAAAATGTATTTCAACACATTATTATTTGATAATACCCAATAGAGTCTAGACCATTCATCTGTTAGCCAAATTATTTTTTCTTTTTCTTTGTTTTATTTTAAGCAAAACTAAATTATATTACGTGGATTTTTCCCTTTAAACAGACATAATGATGGATCACTAATTACAAATTCATCAAGAGATGAAAATTATCTTTATTTGCAGATTTAGATCTTTTTAAAATTAGAAAAATGTGTTTCAAGGTAATCAGCAAATATGTAATGCCTATAAATGAGCATCGACAGACGTAAATATGTCTTCTCAGGCACTCATAATTGTGTTATATAAATCAAATTAAAAAGGGTCACAGTTTGGAGCAACAGTGTCACAAACAGACTCATCAGTACTGTATATATGACAGTGTAAATAAATACACAAGAGCTCAGCTCATCATGTAAATAGGCAGTGGAAGAGTGGGCGAGGTGACAGAAATGGCTTCAGCTTTTACAGAACACAAACAAGGAAGGATCCGCTGAGCCCCGAGCTTCTAGCAGCCACGGTGGAGCAGCATGAGAATCAAACAGGGGCATCACTTTGACTCAATCACTCTGCCTTTACAAGAGGACATGCTGTTGAATAAAATGAAGCCTGGAGTGTGTGGAGACGTTCAAAAAGGAAGTTACATTTAATAAAATCATTGCAAAAACAAATATGAGATCCATGGGTGTTAATCAGGTGAGAGCTCTGAGACTGGTAGAGGGAAAACTTGAGAGAATACAACAACAAATCAGACCAAAACTTAAATACAAATAGAAAAACTTGGAAAATTCCGTATATATTGATTTCTAGGAGGAAAACAGAGCTTGTGGTTACAATCAATGTTACCTGTAGGAAAACAACCTGTGGTCTCCCCTGATGCAACGCTGCTGTCACTCAGCGTCACAGTTAAATTCACAAGTGAATCCTGTCATGTTGTGTTTGTCAAGCGGAGAAGAAAGTGGAAGATTATCAAAGCTGGAGGGGCAGGGGACAAAATCCCTGTTACCTAACTGGAGCATACTTATTAGAAAGTAGGCTACACGTAACTAAACCATTGCCATTTGGGTTAAAAAAAACACGCCAGGTTTAAGTCTTTAAAAAAATGGAGTTAATTGTACATAAATAATGATTTGAAGTCAAAAAAGGAAGCAGCTCATTAATACTGATGCAGAATAAGTGTCCTAATTTTCCCTTGTAAACGTCAGTGCTAATGCGGGACCCAGAAATACGCTGACTCGCACAGAAAGGCTTCTTCCAGACAGCAGAACCAATGTTTTTCATCCTGAAATACACTACAGGGTTATCTGCGACCCTACCTGGCTTTCATCTATTTAGAAATGACACAAAGGCCATCCTGAACAAGAAACCGATGGGCATCCATAATGAATGAGCTCAGCCTAATTCATTTCCATGATGTGAAATTGTATTGTCAACCTGCAACCACTGATGGCTCCGTAATGACAAAAAGCACCCGCATGCATTTTTAATCGACCCTTCCTCTTTGAAAGCCAGGAAATCTCTTTATGCCTCTGACCAGCCCAGTTTAGAAACTTGAAACAATGTTGGTGCAACCCTAGAAATGCTAATGTCGCTGGCAGAGAAAGCTTCAGTAAATAAGACACATGGGGCTGGAACAAAGGGGGGGCAATCATGACTGGGTTTGTCAGGGACAGCCGGTGCCAGGATTCATCATTCATCTCATTCAGCGGATAATGAGGCATCACATCTGTATCTTGAGCCACCCTCAGCCATTTACTAGCAGATGGCTGCAGCTGCTCGGACTCAGAGAGGAACGACGACAGCACATGCCTTCTGCATGACGACCACGAGAGCTGCCCAGACACACTCCAATTTGCATCTTCCTTCTCTTAACTAACTAAATCCTATGCTCTTCACTTCATACTGTCGCCAATTAAAAGATATGGGAGAAAGGTAGTGGTAAGAATACTTTTCTGTCAAAAGACCAGGAAAGAAACTACTTTATAGAATAAAAGAAACGTTTTTTTATCAAATATCAGGGAAAGTCACAAGTAACTTGAGAAAGTTCCAAGTCAAGTGTCAAGTGATATGTAAAATAATTAGAGACAAGTCATTCAAAACAAGTCCATGTCACGTATAAAATATTCTGATGGCGGTTCAAGACAAATCTTACAAACATGGGGACTGAAATTGGGCATAGTCTTCAATAATAATCCAGCTGCATTTGAACATGTTTCATTAAAAACTGTGTTGATCAAATCATTTATCAAATTTATATTCAAGTTGAATGCTTTTCTTTTACTAATGCAGGGGAGTGGGAGTGGGAGCGGTATGTTGTGCAGATCATAAAGTACTTTCAAACTAATTGGTGATTCTCCTACAAACAGAAATGAAAAGAATTTTCAAGGTCAACTTTCATAACAGATTATAATCCACCAATGTTTTTGTCGATGATACTCAGTATGTTGTCACAGCCCTGCAGAGTGCACCTTCAGGTCTCAAGCATTCAGAAGTCAACCTACAAAACAACGGAAAACCCACTCATGCTCCTCCACTCTTCCCGAAGTATGACTCAACATCAACAAGCATGAATAGCCTGCCAAAGAAAGTCAGCTCCCACAGTAAGAGATATTTTACTGTAGGGAGCTAACTCCAGTGTTCTGCCACCCTCTCTGATAATTCAGAGTAAAATGACACTCCTGGCATCGAGGCAAATTACGTATTTTTGCAATGGCAACCAAGGCTGCTTTTAGTTTTATCTGTGTTAAGAGCATTGAATAATATTCATCTACCGCAGTGGTCCAGTAAAAATAATCATATTTGATGAGGGCTCATTGAGATTCAGTTGTGTTAGAAACATGTTTTACAAATTCTTCAGTGATTGGATGTGTTACTACGTGAGCTGCAGTACCTAAAAACAGGATTTAGAAGAACCAGGCGTCAGTTTTTTCCATATTTCCTGAAAGCCTCCAGTCACTGCGGGATCAAAGCTCTATTGGTGGGATGCCAGAGATTTGTGTTTGCGGTTAACAGCCCGTCTTTGTGTCGGTCAACCCTCCGTTTCCACACGGGTCACATCCAGTTCATGGAGCTCTCCCTTTAATTGTGTGAGACTTAAATGTTCATAGGAGCGTAAATCCCTGACCCGGTGTTCCTCATGGGTGTGTGTTTGGCCCCCAGCAGCTTCCCAGGCACACAGTGCTGCCTTTCTAAATAAAATGACCTGAGGAATATCCTGGTGAATTCCAGCCAGTCCATCTGTCTGTCCTCAAATGCCACATTGATCAACAAGGCATGGTTTACATATAGACACTCACAAAAATGCAGAACGGCACAATAGAGGGGAAGAAAAAAATCAATGTGCCATCCTCAGGTTTAATAGCTCAATTACAGACTGTGGAAGAATCGAAGCATAAATGGACATCTATTCTTCTTTTTCAGATTTATTTTTCAGAACTTGAAACGTTTTTAGGAACAGATCAGGGTTCTCAATTTTAATCAATTGAGAGTTTCAGGTCATACTAGTGAACTTCTTTACAGAAAGCATGTATGAAAAATGACACAGCAGCCTTTGTACCTTCATAGGACTCACTCAGCAATTGAATTATTCAATTGTTGGATTGGCAGTGACTCGTACTGCAAAGAAGCAAATCAAAAACTCATTAACTTTAACACACAATCATTACAAAATATAAATATATTGTGAGATTTAGAACATCTGTAAGAGCGGATAGGCCTTGAGGAGTAGGGGACACCTTGGTCTTAAAGTCTGGCAGCAAATTAGCATTTTTTTTACGACACAAGCCATAGCCGTGATGGACTGCAGCCCTGATAAACTCAGACTCTGAATGAACATTTGATACATTTACTGCTGACATCCTGCTCCGCTGCAGCTGACAGGACATCTGTGACTTGTGATGCAACTTTGGCTCTCTGGTCTCAAGCTATTGTTTGTTCTTTCCATATTTACATTATTTGCTGCTGAAGCACCATGATGGATGATGAACTCATTGTGACCTTCTGATGCCATAAGGTTCCCAACTGTCTATTTAGAGCACTTGAGTACATGCAGAGCTTTTGTCAAGCCTGAAGGGCTGCACAATTACGGCTAAAAAAAGAGCCCTGATTATATTGCTCTATTTGATGTTGATGAATGTCAATCAGATGATTGTTAAATCTAATCAGCAAAGAGACAAATAATCCCAATGGCCCTTTTTGAATATAAACCTTGTGGCATGTCATTTGGCAGCACAATCTTAAAACTATACACATATCAAGAGGTGTGTTACTTGTCTTTAAACTGATTTCTGAAGGTAGAACCTCAGTCCTGCGTGTGAACGAAGCATCAAAACAGATCCAAATTATAAGATTGTGATCTGCTAATAATGTCAAAATGCTTATTTAAAATCAAAATGTCAAATATACATGCAAATATAAGCCCTACATGTAAATGATATGGTAAAAAAAACACAGATTGGTCCTTTAAGACACAACTGCATACCCTTTGAGCTCAGACCTGATTTCACTGGCCGACTCTGCATGTGTCCCATGCTTTTGGCAACATGCATATATTGGACGGGTCTCCAGGCGCCTGGGTCCCTCCTCAAGCATCATCTTCATCCGCCTGAACA